TTGAGGGCTCTTTGTGAAGGGTCCTATCTCTGAGGGGGAACTACTGCTTCTTGAGCATGTAGCAAGACGACAATACTTCATTTTCTGCTTCTTTGGCATGACTACCCTTTGCATACTAAATAACTACATCATGGCAGGGATATGTTTGGGAATCTTCCTATTCAAAAATTACACTGGAGGGAATTTAAAGAAGAGCAATTTATGAGACAAGATCAAAGGAGCTGAAATATTAAAACATGTTTCACAAATGCTGTGAAATGACATCATTTTGTTAAGATTAGTACACGCTACATGGAAAGTTTATTTAGCATAAGACTACATATGTATTTTGAAGGAAGCAAAGACTGCAAAAATGGGTGCGACAAGAAAAAAGAAAACATTCAAACACCAGTTATTTGGGGAGGTATGGAATGCTTTGTTCCTAAAAGCAACAGCAAAGGCCCTACCCTCTAAAGCTAGATTTGACAGATGAGTTAAAAACACTGAAGGGAACAATCTTCCTTATAGAGAGCTAAGATGTGTCCCTTAACAAGAACATTTTTCCTCATATTTATGACCTTTTCAGCAGTCCATTAACTTGAGATCCCTGAGGCCTACCTAGGCTAAACTATGATCCTTGACCTTAGTAGACTTTTTTCCTAAATAGGTAAACATGTTTTCAAAGTGATGGCACATTTGAGATAGGAGTTCACAAAGATTTTCTTAGCGCTTGTATTGGAATACCTGTATGAACGTTGAGCTTTGTCACTCATGAATGACATGGCCATCTTGCAGCGCTAATTAAAACCTTGAAACCAAACATACCCTTTTAAAATACACGCACACACACAGATTATCTCTCCATACCTAATTTATATTCAAAATATTGTCAAACATAATCAGTTTATGCTAAGCAGAGGCTTTTATACAGTACTATTAAATAAGCAGCAAAACATGTGCAAGCACATAGCACTGTGCTGAAGGGAGTATTGTAAGATGGTGCCGAAGTGACAAAAGCACGGGCTAGAAACAGGAGAGGGCTAGAGTTTGGCACAGACTCCACGAGGTAGTCCCATCACCTTCGTTGTTTTTTCATTGCATCAGGTCAGTTTTTTCCCCTCCCAGACTTCTGCAACCCCGGTCTAGTTTTTAGCATTTACTTGTAATTGATAGAAGTCCTAGTAAATTTGGAGGGATAGGGGAAAGAAGGTAATGCTTCGTTTTAGAAGAGCATTATGTGAAGAAAAGGGTCTCATAAGCTTGTGGTTGTTCTTACTTTATAAGAATTTGATTTGAGGTAAGAATTGCTGTTTGCGGTACCACAATTATGACCCAAAATGAAGCTTTCCTCTTGCAAAGCAGTACATCTTACCATAAAGACAGAAATTTGTGTTTTCTGGAGGTGAGTATCTGTTTAATATGGCTAAGGAAACTATAACTCAGTACTCTTAGAGACCTGAAATTACTTCTTTCATTCTTATTTCTACTTTGATGTCTGAGCATGTTACTGTTTACTAAAAACAACTAAACTACTGTTTACTAAAACAACTACAATTTCTCTTCCCCTTCTTGGATGCTCAGAATCAATTATATAGACTTGCCAGGGCATTGCTGTGGAGACTTAAAAGAAAAGCTAAGCTTCTCCTTCACAATATGTTTAGGTACTGCAGAACCTACATCTTACTGAAAACCGTGAAAAAATCTGTAACTTTAAAAGTATGCATGTTGAGTTGAGAAACACATCCAGATAGATTACAAGATGTGCACATTTTTTTTCTTTGAGATCTGTGAACAAAAGAATCAAGTTATATCATAGCATGTAAGGCTTCTCATAGAACAAGAGAATAGTTTCATGAAGTTTTAGCAAACTCAGATAAGAGTTAATTGCTTAAATAAATGCTACCATAAATTATAGGAGCTATTATACTCTCTGCCTTTTTGAGAGCCCTCTGCTGGATGCTAGCCAGAGTAATATGTTTGATCCCTTTCAATGGGATTTCCTTTGATCTGTCGCTTTTGGTTCCTGCTTGTACCCTGCACATATCCCTCCTCAGGGACGCTCTACTTGTGTTAGGGCACTTGCTAATCACGTTTCAAACTTGAGAGACTTAACAAATTCTTTTGTTAGCACAGAGAAGTAGCCATGAAAACCACTGACAGACCATTCCTTACCTTAGCTTCCTCAACAGAATTTTCCAAGAACCCCAGAGTCCTGCCTTTCCCTCACACATAGTGTTTTTTTCTAAATCCCACACAGGCACAGGGTAATTAGGTAACGATACCTAGAAATTTCATTCTATGTTTCTCTACAGATATTTGTCCATACAACAAACATTCCCGCATCCCCAAACCAGATGCAAGGAACTAGATGGATGCTGCTCTTCCATCCCAGCCATGGTCTTGGCCCTGAACCCATCACATGACACAGCAAAATAGGGTCAAGCTTTTCCTTATCAACTGTGTCACATCTCAGAAACACTACATCCTGTAAGCAGTCGCTTTTGTTGTTTGAAAATAGCCACTGAAAAATGTTGTTATAACTTTAATCAGATGGCACCCCCAGTCCCTCTGCACAAAAATCATCAGCTGACTTCATGCTCAGTGTCATCAGGTGATCCAAATCCCACATCAGATGATCATTATTCCAGATAACAACCCAAGCCTGTGCACCTTTCTTTAGTATGCCCATCACATTGTCTGGGTATACCTCTTTAGACATCCGTGGAGCTTGCTTGTACTAGTCTTCCTTTATGATCTAAGTTACAGAAATGTTAACAGCTGCATCAGTTTGTTAGAACGTCTTTCCCTCTTCCAGCTAGTGGCCTGCAGATCCTGTTACAGGACAGGACTTGTACAGAGCAAATCTGGATCCTGATGCCTTGTTTCCCTTTATAACGAAGCATAACAATGACAAGCTCAGGTGAGGTCAGAAAACCAGTGCTAGAGGTTGCTCTGTGTGATATCGTTGTGACTTTAGGATATCCCTCTCTTAGCTGCTGTCAGTAATAAAACACAGTTGTTTTCCTATTACCATAATTTGGTAGCTTCATTCAGCTTCTGTTCTGGCTTCTACCTTCCCATAATTACAATCACAAAACCAGCAACACACAGTCCCTTTTCCCAGTTCAGCCAAGTCACAATGTTTTGTCTCCTCTTTGATCATTTCCGATTCTATGCAAGTGATTTCAGGAAGAGGTTAGCTCCTGGATAACAAAAACCCACACAGCACTGAATAGGTAAATTCCTTGTGGTCTTTGTTACAGCACTCTGTGTCCAGTGGGCAGCAGTCTGCTTTCCCTTTCACTGCTGTACATTAGCAGGTACAGTTTAAATAAACAAAAGTGAAGTCAGACGAATGAAATCTTAAAAAAACTGGTCCAGGAGAGAGGATTACTTGTTGGCTTTTATGCCTTTTCAAACTCCATAAATTAGGGGGAAATAAACTTAGGTCAATAATTTGTAACCCTAGCCTTAGAAAACATGAAGAAAATACTACTGATTCTGTTCAAAATGATTATGGGACGGGAAATCCTGCACAGAGAAGAATGGATGACAAACAAATTAAAATAAGAATATTTTATTCATCTAGCCAGCATAAGGAGGCAATAAACAGATGACCAAAAGAGAGCTGGACTGCAAAAGAACACAGTGGAAAAGGTGGTACACCTGCAAAAGAGACTGGTATTACTTACCTTACTTTATATACATGCTGTACAATACTGTTTCTCATTAAGTCAGTTCTTTAAATTATCTTTTCTGCTTCCTTTTTGAGTAATGAAGCCTCAATGCACAATCTATGACAAACACTAGTAAATGCTAATATGAAATTTGTTGTCATATCCGTAGGCACTGGATTCAACGTCCGATTGTGCCACTGAAGTCAAAGACAGACTTGCCAAAGACTTCAAAGGAGACAGAATTTCAATCTTTTCTTGGTGCACTGCAGGTATTTGTGCAAAATTAGACTAGTACTCTGTTTTGTTACGTGATCATTTGGCTTTCTAGGCAGAAGCATACATAACTTCATTCAAAATTCAAACTGAGGAGAATGAACAAAATGCCTAAATACACACTGATAAATCATACTAACTACAAGTGAGCCACACACACTGCCATAGCTCTGTAATGGGTACTAGTTTGTGGTCACTACCTCAGTTTTTTTATTATTAGCAGAAGTATTACCATCTTGTCTGTCATGAGTGAACCTTTTGTTTGCAGGTGCAATACAAATTCCAAGTAAAAAGATGGTCTCGTCCTCAAAGGGTTTTCCAGTCTAAATAAAGGCACCTATCTAAAAGGCTAAAATGACAGTGCAGAACTTCCACATTAGCTTTTCCTGTGGAGCCTGTGAGTGAAGTTCATCTCATCCAACCTCACATTTCTACAATGCAGAAATCTGCTTGATCTGGTTGTCTTGACTGCCTTCACAGCCAACAGAGAGCCATTTTTAAGATAAAATTCATCTCACCCTGCAGCGGATGTCTAAAACATCAGATAAATCAAACTGTGCTTCTCTCTGATGACTATGAATAGTTCAGGTGAATCCCACTCTTGCATTCCACATAAATAAAATACTTCACACAGATTAAATTAATTTTCTTCTATTCAGAGTTATTCTTAACATGAAATAAGAGTTGCCATGTGGAGAGTTAGAGCAGTGATTATTCTTTTAAGTTTTCTTCTCAGTAGAAAGTTTTGCACAGACTTCTCTATTCATTTTCCGTTGTAGATACAACACATGCTTATGGAAGAGAGATAGATGAGTTGTCTCAACAAATAATAAGATAACATTGACCAACTCAGCAGGCCGTGGTCTCAATCTATTGGCTCTCAGACCATTTTTGAATTTATGAAAGACATCACAGAAAAAGTTGGAAGGGGGATAATGAGGTGGCTTTGTGGTTATTCAGAGGCAGGTCCTCTAATATATTATCAGCAAGGATCTAATTATAAATTTGTATTTTTTAAATCACAGACTCACAGAATCGTTTAGGTTGGAAGGGACCTCTGGAGATCATCTAGTCCAACCTCCCTGCTCAAGCAGGGTCACCTAGACCGAGTCCAAGGTAATTAATTCAAAAGGTAGACAGTCAACAATATAGCCCAAAGTGAATGATCTATATCTCACCTAAATAGATGAGTATGAAAGTTCTTTTAGTAGTCTGGTATCAAAACTTCACCAGAACTCGATAAGGTAATGGTTTGCACTAAATACAGCAAGATGACTTTAAAATTAGCATAAACATTTTCAGCCTGAAATAGCCTGTTATTTTAAATTTCAGAAAACTTGTGTATACTTGCAACCTAAAAGTCTGTCAAATAATATGTACTTGATTGTGCAGTCTGTTCCCTACTGGTGCTAGCGCAGTTTTTAATAAAATGTTTTAGTCGATATTTTAAGGGAAAGAATGTCTTTTAATTAGAGCAATAGGTTGAGGGTCAGGAAATCAATATTAAATTCCTAACTGCTATAGATTATTCCCCTTGGACAAGTCAGAATCTATCCGAAAAATGACAGCAACAGTACTTGCTTTCTCTGTTATGTCTGGTCAGTTTGCAAACTCACGTGGACAGAAACTGTTTTGCTGAGACATTTTTAAAAATACCAGTTCAACAGATACCTGTAAATTTCACCCATGAGCACTGTATTCGGTATTCTACATGAATTTCCCTTAATGCTCCTTCTTTAGAAGTGAAAAACAAGCAAAGTTTTCAAATGCTGAAAGGGATTTCTGATCGTAACTGCAGCTACATTATGTTAGTAATACCTGAGAAGAATTTTCAAAGGCGAGGCCTTTGAGTACCGTTTCTATTTTGACTTCTAGGCTGAAAACGGTGAGAGAAAAGCAGGCTTCCAAAACAGAGACAGAACAAAAGAATTTCTTATTCAAAATCACAACATCATTCATTTCCTCTGCCCGGACATAATTAGAAGAAAAAAAACTTCCTTAATGAGAGTTAATGTCAAAGCACAGGCAATGAAGATTCCAGTTGCTTTAATACACAAAGGTATAAGCTTGCTCTGCTACACAAAGGAATGCTATTTATACAAAGTTGTGTGCCTTAAGGACTTTAAATGTCTTATGTGATAACATACAATAATATTTTATTTTTTAAAAGTTATTAATTCAGAGTTTTACTTGTGTGAGTGTGATTCCTGAAAAGAGCAAGTAGCTATTTTCTTTCCTGTAAGTCTGCAAGTCCCAACTTTTCTAGCACGATGTGCAGAATTACAAATGTCCTTATATAGATAATCTTAAAATATATCCGCACCAGAAATTCTATTTTTTCAACTGTGCTTGATACAAAGATTACTTTTATAACCTAAAGAAACTGGTGGATATCTGAAATAAATTAGCTTTGCCTGGCTCCTAGGCTTTTGGTGTTTTGTTGGAATTGTTAACTATGCAGGGTTTCAGCTGTGAGAAGGAAAGCACGTTATTGGCTCACACCTGCAGGGTATTGGAAATCCCGGTTAGGTTTGTCTTCTGATCAAGGCAGGCATACAGCAGCATGTAGTTTGTTCTCTGATGAATTCAAACAACAATCTGTTCTTTTCTGAATGCTCACTTTTTGCTTACTGAGAACTATGTCTATCACACCCTGTGTTACTTTGTTTCATTGTCTCAAAAAAAAATCAAGTTGGCATCTTACCAAGTCCACGCAATGCCACAAGACGTTGATTCAAAAAGACATTTGAGAATGCAGAAATTAAACTTCTGGATTGTATATTTTTTCATTCCTATTTTAAAATATATGCTATTGTATTTCTCTTTATTGCATACTCAAAACTAACAGAGCCCCATGCAGCAATAAACAATACTGACCTGCTATCCTTTAACTTTTACTATTTGCTTAGGAAGTGTGTGAGACAGAGAATGTGAAAGAGTATTCATTCATTTTTTGACCACAATATGTTGAATAACAGAATTTGCAATAAAAACAGTTTGGGAAAAGACAAGATACATTTTCTGTGTAGCAGCCATATGTCTGACTATGTCAAACAAAGTTACGGAACTTAAATCTATATATATAGACTTTTTGGAACAAAATTATGCAGTTACATGACTCCGTTCTTTTGGAATGTTTTTCCACAGATTTTATTACACTATGACATCATTACACCATGCCACAGAGAGCTGCTGACACAAGGAGCCCAGGGCTTTCCTGGAAGGTGAGACTGATTGTCCTGTGCGTTAAGGGCAGTTAGATACAGGCAGGCATACCACGGAGACTTCACTGGCTCAGGCGCTGTAAGAACGTCCAAGTAGCTTACAGTTCTGCTTTCCCACGCGCTGTCTTGCATTGAAACTTTTCAGCTGGATTAAAAGACCTGGCCATAAAAGATAAAAACTGATCCTGTCAAAAAACAAACATGAGTAATTATGTCAGAGAGCCTCAGGCCTATCTGATCTGCAGAAGCAGTATTTACTGCAGCATTTTCTAACCGTATTGAAACAAGCTCCGCAGGATCACACTAAGAGGAGCTGCAGTAGACTTGCCAAGGTAGTTAGAGCAAATACTACCAGGCAACATTCTGCTTCTCTGAAAACGCAATCTTTATCAACATTCCCACTGCTGGATCCTTGCTTCCTATTAGGAGAACACATAATTATGATTTCACAGGGTACACCTAAGGGACTCTTATTCTTGAATCAATTTTCCTGACAAGAGTAAGTCTGGAAGCATAGAGGAGGCTGTACAGAAGGCTGACAACGTGGCAGCAAAGTCTCTTTGCTTTCAGTCAGTTTTATTGTTTTTCCTTCCCGTTCATAGATAATGTCCATCTAAAAGTGCATTTAAAAAAGTTTTGTGCAAAACTGAAATGGTATTTTGAAGGGAAA